CTCAGAGTTAAACTCCAGGACACCTTGTGGTCTTGCAGATGTGGCAGTGGATGTTACAGGGGTAATGGATTTATCTATAAATAGCTCAAAGCAAGGATGGAACTGTCTGCTCAAGGGATTGGCTCCTTGGACAGGACAGGGGGTCTTTCTACAACTTTTTCTCAACTTGTTTTCAGTAGAACAGGGTCTGATATCGTTTGGCATAGGAGGAGATCACAACATTTAATGGAATTTCTGTGCCAGTGTAAGGTTGTGACTGGACTCTCACCAGGAGAGAGTCACTTCTTCTTGGATTTGTTGATTCACAGTTCCTTTCAGTTTGGTGTTTGGGTGCAGTTGATTTTAATCACTTTTCTTTCCCTCTCATTGCATTTCACTTGCTCTTTTCTGTTACTCTTCATGGTTCTTCTTTTCACTTGCACAATACCAAACCTAAAATCAAAGAGAACTGGGTATTTTTTTTTCAAGACTAGTTTTTTTAAGCACTGTTTTTTAAAACACTAGATTACTGTAATTAAATTTAAGTAAGTGACTTGAATAGAGACTTCACTGAGTGGAACATAAATCCAACAATGTATAAATAGAGGCAGTTTTAAATGATCTATTAATCTTTTTTGGTCTAAAACTCTCCAAAGCTATAAAGAGAAGGATGTAGGAAAATATCTTACCAAGAGTGATCTTTGGGGTTTAATTATTTTTTTTTCAGAGAATTACATTAGTAATTCATAACTACCAGCTAAAGCAAATCTGATTTTAACAGGAAGCACAAGATAAGACCTTGGGAGACATGTTTGCTCAGCTGAAAACTAGGGAATAACAGTAGTGCAATGAGAGTGAAAGGAGTCTTAGGGGGGAAAAAAATACCTCAGAGCTATTTTAAGATCTTAGGTCATGAGTTAGGTCATGAGCTTCTTAGCATTTGGTGTGGTATCTGAGCAGACCCTTGGGTTACAGATCAGGGCAGGTGCAGAAGGCTGCTCTAAAAATACTTTTGTCCTTAAGGAGTTCACTAATTTCTTGACTGACAAACCAGACAGAAACAAAAGTTCTGAAGAGGAAAATTATCAAAATAATTTAAAAGGAAGTTAAATCTTTATTTTCCCATAAATCACCCCATAATTCTTAAATACAAAAGCTGCACTGCTCTTCACCGTTGCCCAGGAAATGTCACAGCAAACCTTTGCCGGAGTTACAGCATGTGCTGAGCATGACTGGCATGGTCAGGAGTATTTCTGTGCTGCTTTGCTGCCTCCTGAGCTGTGCAGAGAACTGCCAGGATTCCTCCCTTCTATTTTAGGGCCTTCTCCTGCCTTGTGGCTGAGCAGACGTGACCCTTTCCCTCAGGGCGAGTTTGGATGCTTTTATGCTTCTTTTAGGAAATATTGTCCATTTCTTTAGTGCAAAGTTCTTGGAGAGCCCTACAGGCTCAAATACACTCATTGTAGTAGTAAAACCTGCCTAATCTCCTCAGTATCTACTGGGGTGTTTTGGGGTTTTTTTGTAGATGAATACAGATGTTTTCAGTTTCCTATTTTTGGATGATGTGCTACACTCTTGTTGCTGCTCCCTTAGTCCAAAATGAACCTTCCTGTTTTACAAGGGCTGCAGAGCTTCAGAGACCTTTGAGAAATTGGTTTGTATTTCATTTATATTTGCCTCCCTTTGAGGGAACCCTCCACTTCTGACATGGCACATACAGGCCTGTGAGTTCACTCCAGCTGACCTAATTTGAATCCTTAATAATCTTGTCAGAAGTAGGTTTTTATAGAACTGGCAGAACCAGTTGGAGTATAAAGTGGGGTGTAATTTCCTGTATATTCCTTAAAAAAAAAAAGAGACACCAAGGAGAAGGAAAAGCAACTCCAAGTGCATGTTAGAAGTTTTCCAAGTGATTATGTCCACCTACTCTTCTGTCTCTTCCAGGAATGAACAATGTGAACCCCCTTTGACCAGCCCAATCTGGGCCCAAAAGGCAGATCCTCCTTAAGGCAAATTTCTGCCTTTGTCAGGGGATCCCTGGCATGGCAGGAACAGCGTGACATCACCAGCTCCCAGCCTTCCTCTGGGAAAAAGTGCTGTGCTGTCAGTAAGCCTGCAGTGCAACATCACCCACTCTGAGGAGGAGCTGAGAGTTTCCAAACCAGAAATCCCGCTCTGGTTCTTGGTGTTGGCTGGCTGGGTTTTCTGGAGAGCCCGATTAAATTAACAGGATTCAAGAGGAGTGCAGGAGGTTCTCCCCAGAAACAAGTGAATCTGCTGTTAGGGAGTCCCTGCACCACTTGTCAGTGAGAGAGATGAGCTGATGAGATGAGATTGAGGTATAAGATTAGCCATTGTGGTGAAAAACAATGAGAGGCAACAAATAACATTGGAGAACTGATATTATGGCAGAGAAAACCAAACTTTGTGCTACCTTCTTTTTTTTCAGTATGCAAAAACAATTTGTGTAGTCTGTCTTCACATGTCAATTAAAGAGGGAGAGACTACACAAGCTGTTAGATTTCCAAGCCTGTCTTTCTTAGCCAGCTGGAACAGAAATTTCCAAGTAATTGAAATTGTTAATGGAACATATAGCAAGCATGTTTACACGTGTGTCTGTACTTTTCATATTCTCTCTCTGAGGAAAAGAAAAAAATCACCATCAGCCAGTTCAGCCCCATGGATGCAGGGCCATCTTGCTATAAACAAAGCTTATTAACTGGACATTTTCACGTAAGCAGAACCTCAAGGTTTTGTTTTTCTGTGGAGGTGATTGCATCCTCCAGGTATTTTTTATAAAAACCTCTGGAGTTCCTTTCCTTCTGCCCTCCTCTCATGCTTTCTTATGTATCCCAGAGGCTCCCATGTCATGGCTCACATTCTTTTAGAAAAATGGAGCTGCACATGAATTCTTTAAGAGCCTATCAGCACCACTCCCAAATTAGCCAGACAGGATACTGTTTGTTTAATTTCGCAAGTCTTTGCCTTCCCCAAAGTGAGAAGAGCTACCTCAGTGAATTCCCAGCCGTGATACTCCACGCTTCTTGTGGAATTTTTTGTGAGAGAGGAGTAAGTTCTCCTAAACTAGGAACAAAACTTACTGATATGTTAAAAATGCAGTCAGGTTGTTGAACAATATGTATCTAGGTGTCTTTTAAATATTCACTGTATTTACTGTTTTACTAATCTGTTCTAATTGACAGAAATGTCAAAGCAAGGTAAGTGCAAAGAGAAAAACTCCACTTTGGGGTTGGTTGCGACTACATCTGCAGACTTCTTCAATACTCTGGTGTTCTAAAACGTTCTGTGACAGTGCCGTGTTTCGCTTTATAACTTGGACTATTTTTCTGTTATTTTACTGTTATTGTTGTAGTAGTTTGGTTAGTAAACCAATGCAATGAGAAAGGAATGCAGTGAGAAATCTTTTCTTTAAGTAGGTGTAAGGAAAGCTGCTACTTCAGCAGTGGCCTCATGCTCTCTGGTAGCACTGCACGTGAATCCCTTTGGGAGCCTCTCTGAACTGGGGTAGTTCATAGCTGGATTCAGAGCATGGCCTTTCTCAGGAGTAGGGGAAGGTCTGAACTCTGTTCAGGGGGCTTTGCAGTCTTGCAGAGCTGACTGTGGTTTGGTTTGTTCATGGTGTGGTTTGTTTAAGCTCTGCAGGAGCTGCTTTGCAAATCCAGCCCTAACTGCCCTGGCACACGGGCCAGAAGCTGTAGGACATTCCCTCCTCCTGCAAAGTAACATCAGCTCAGCTGATGCAGTGACAGCACCAGGGAGGAATTCTCTGCTGCAAGGACCAAGCGTAGACAAAAGAGGCTGCTTAATTTTCTGTTTGTGCAGCCCAGGTCTTGTGGAACTCTTGTGTACAACCATGCCCTCTCTACCCTGCACAAGGGAGCGTGTGTCCTGAGGACAGCGTGTTGTGTCTTGCTCACTCTGCTGATGAGCCTGTGAGAGACCCGCCAGAAGTGAATTAAATAGGTCTCTACTTAATTATATGTTATTTTGTTAATTGTCTCTGCTGCCTGTCTCTCGCTGGCGTTACAGAAGGGTGCAAGTCACCTCTGCAGCCCGTTTCTGTGCCCCAGCTTTTCCTGGGCTCCATCCCTCGCAGCTCTGGCTGCCGCCGGGGGTGCAGCGGTTGAGCCTTGCAGGAGTTCTCCTCTGCCTTCTCCTTTCAGTCCGCTCTTCGCGTCCCTTCCACGGCCAGCACCGACGACACTCTCCCTGCAGAGCCAGCGGTGCGCTGGGAAGCACTGGGAGCTGCTGGGAGCTCTGCCGTGCCCCCGGTGGTCACGATCGCACCTGGGCCCATTCTCCTCGCCGGGGGTCTCGCCCGAAGCCCTGCCCAGCCCTGCCGGGGTCTCGCCGCACAGTCTGGGCTCCGTGCTCGGCGCTGTGGGGCCGGCCCGGCACCCGCAGCCAGACTGCTGAGGTGCCCCCTCCTCCTCCTCCTCCTCTCCTCCTCCTCCGGCTGCCGGGGGAAGGTCTCCGTTCATTCCGTACGTGCATGCGGTTAACCCCTTCCTGCCCTTCTCTCCGCCCCGCAGCCCCGCGCGTTCCCCGGTCGGCTCCGCCACCGTCGCGCTGTAGAACATTGATTTCCGCGGGTGGGGATGGCTCCAGCAGCGGGGCTGGTGTCCCCCAGCCTGCAGCCCGTCTCCTCCGCTCCCCGCTTGATGCCTTTGTTGTTTTTTTTTCCTCTCCCAGGAGTAGCAGCGAAACGTCCCGTCTTGCCTATTTGGAAATGGGAACAAATTGCTCCCCCGCCTTACCTCGCCCATCGCATCCCATATATAGTCATATCTACGGTCAAATGGCAGGCGGCAGCGAATGGGAGGGCTGCGCTTCCCAAAAAAAGCCGGAGGGCAGTGAGAGAGGGAAAGGGGTAGGGACGAACGGAGGAGGGAGGGAGGGAAGAAAAAAAAAAGCAAGCCCTTTCCAAAAAAGTATTGGATGTCTTGAGGAATGCAGTCAGCCCCCTGGGAAAGTACATATCTGTGAGGCGCTCCGTGCCCGCCGCTTGCACTCGGCCGGCGCCCCGTCCCGCACAGACCAGCTCCGCTCCGCTCCCCCGGGAGCCGCGTCCGGATCGGGGCTGTCCCGCAGCTTTCCAAGCCTTACTTTCGGGAGTAGTTCGCGCGGGGTCGCGCCCTAACCCACCGCCACCATGGATGCCATCAAGAAGAAGATGCAGATGCTGAAGCTGGACAAGGAGAACGCCTTGGACAGGGCCGAGCAAGCCGAGGCGGACAAGAAGGCAGCGGAGGAGAGAAGCAAGCAGGTCTGCAGCGGGGGCCTGGGAGCAGCCAGCGCCGGGGCGCAAGTTTTTCCAGACTCCTCTCTTTTTTTTTTTTTCCCCTCCTCCTCTTCCCCCCTTGTAGTATTCCACCCCCGCGCCCCTGCAGAACTGGTTGAACTTTCCCTAAGGCAGAGCTTCAGCCTGGCAGCCCCTGGCTGGAGGTCCCCTGGTGCCGGGTAGGAGGTGGTTCCCCCTGTCCTCACCATTCCCGCTGGAAAGCGGGGCCCGGGGACAGCCGCGTGGCCTCCGTGCCTTTGTCACCGGGGACGGCGTGGAGAGGCTGCCTCGAGCACCTCGTTAGCAAGGGACAGACGGGCAGCCCCTTGGCAGGGGACGCTTTAAAGCTGTGTTCACCCACACAGCATCACCCAGCAGATTTGTCTGGCAGATTCCAACTGCCCCCCTGCCCTCCTCTGGATGCACGTCCCATTTTCCTGTCCTTCTCCAACCCCTCTCCTTTACACCTGGGGCTTTATTCGACTGGGGGAGGGGGACACGTTGTTTGCACGTTTGTGGGAGATCCTGAAGGAGGAGGGAGGAAGGGAGGGGGATTTACAAATTAATTTCCCGCTTTCCTAAGCCCAGGGAGAAACATATTTGTGCGTTGTATTTCCTCTTGTGCACTTAGTTAGAGGATGACATTGTGCAATTGGAAAAGCAATTGCATGTGACGGAGGATACGAGGGACCAAGTGCTGGAAGAGCTGCACAAGTCTGAGGACAGCCTCCTCTCCGCAGAGGAGAATGCTGCCAAGGTATCGTGCCCTTGCCACAAGCAAAGAGAATCTAACTGTCTCTCCTTCTCTCTCTCTCTCTGTCTGTCCTTTTCTGTCCCTTCTGCACCCGCACTTCTCCTTTTGCACGATCACGTTGCCTGCTGCACCTTCTCCTGCCCTCCCCTCTGCACCGCCTTCACCCCTGTCACAGCTGGAGGACGAGCTGGTGGCTCTACAAAAGAAGCTGAAGGGCACTGAGGATGAGCTGGACAAATACTCCGAGTCCCTTAAAGATGCCCAGGAAAAGTTGGAACTGGCTGACAAAAAGGCCACAGATGTAAGTTACCCCCAGCCCTTTCACCACAAGCCCAACAGAGAACCCACACGCTCCCTCTGCACAGGACAGCCAGGACTCCTGCCTGCAGCGCTCCAAAGCTTTGCTGATGGCAGGGTCTGGGCACCTCCTGGGCAGGGGGGTGGGAAACACAGCACTGCCTCCTTGCATGAGGTTTGCACACTGTCAGAGGCGTTTGATTGGGTTTCTGCTCACTTGACATGTGCTTTTCATGTGTACTTGCTGCTGTAGATGTGAAAGTAAAGAAGGGCGGTTTATCTGTTCAGGTGATGGGAACAACACTGTCTTGGTAGTGAAACAGAATCAGAGGGTTAATAGCAAGTAGATCCAGGAAAGGAAGATCCAGAAGAGCAAGGACTGCTAGTTCTGTCTTAAAGAGAGCTGTTCCTAGGCATGCATGTGTTAGAACTGCTGCTAGATACTAGTTTTGTTCACTGATCCCTGAGATGAAAGGTCCTCTCCTGGCTGTTCTTTTTTTTCCTGGAAATCAGTGGAACTGTTTCACTTGTCAAAGAAAATTTCAGTCTTGTGTGACAGAAAATTGTCTGGAAGATGACACTTGGTAGTTTTGCAGTTCAGAGGACAGCGATCCTGGGAGCAAGCGGGGAGATATATATAGCTCAGCACTTTATATGGTAATAAGGCAAGAGCTTGTGCCTCTCCCAGGCCCTCATCCCACCCACCTGTCTGCCCCTGACATGCATTTAATGTATTGCATGCATGGAGCCACAGGGGTATCTTTCTCTGCAGTTAAGGTCCTGGTCTCTTTTGCTGCTGGTGGACAACTTGATTCTCTCTGAGTAAATCTCAGGTCTGAATTACAGGAATAGGTGAAACCACAGTATATCCAAAGCCATGACACTCCTCCTGCTCCTGTAGCTCAGCTTTAAAAATCAACCTCAAAGCCATAATAAAAAGGAGTTGCCACAGATGAAGCAAGCAAAGTATTTCAGAGGGAGGAAGGATACTTTCGGAAGGGGAAATGTTGCAAACAACAACTTGGTGTGAAAGGCAACATGCTTTTATCTTCTTTTACTTCTAAAAGGAGGACAGGACAGAAAAAAAAATTTTGCTTCAGTGTTGGCAATTAAGTTGTATAGCTTTGAAAGAGAACTCAGGAGCTCGGCAAACAGAAGCGTGCCTAGGAACGGGGGAGAGGGGTTCTGTCTGATGGGGATCAGATGTCTGTGCCTGTGTTCACTGCCATAGAGCAGAGGCAGCTCCCTAGCAGGACGTTTATTTAACTTGTTCAAAGGAACCACATATAGATCCAGGGGAGATATTCCTTATAAGGAAAAGTATGCAGACTATTTGGAAATAGCTTGCCTAGGATGAAGGCAGGAGAAATGCTACTAGATTCCCATTTTGAAATGAAGGATCATCCTAGCCAATCCCAATGCCATTTTCCAGGGCTGGAAAAGAGCGTTTGGAAGCGAGTTGAGGGCAATTTTATTTGCAGTCTTCCCTCAGGTGGAGGGTAGGAGATGTCTGGCTTGTTTTCATGGAGGTAAATGCTGTATTTATTTGGATGGGTGGAATATGTCTGACATTTTAAGGATGTATTTATCTTTTGACAAAGCAGAGTATCTTTAGGGCAGTTGACCCAGTATTTGCCCTACTAGTTTGGATAGTTCCAAGCCTTAGGAAAAAGACACGGGCAGGGAGGGAGTGCCGGCTGCCTGGGCTGGACTCGCCTTACAGGGGATGAGGAAATCTTCCCTCGCGGTGTGACTCATGTCCCAAAAGCGGGCACATCCCCGGAGCCACCCCACCTGGGAGGGGGCAGCTGCAGCTCCCTCTCCCCTCCCGGTGTCTCAGGAGCCAGGCCGGGTGCGGCATCTGGCGGGTTGCTCGGTGTCATTTTATTACGCTCCTAGTGGGGCGGTTTAGAGGGGGAAAGGTGGGTCCTGACCCCGGGCCCGACCCCGCGCGCTTCGCCGCCAGGGGGCGCTGCTGCCACAGGGCACCCACCTGGAGCGGGAACGGACGGGAGCGGCAGAGTCCCGGTACAGCCCCGACCGGGACTGGCAGAGTCCCGGTACAGCCCCGACCGGGACTGGCAGAGTCCCGGTACAGCCCCGACCGGGACCGGCACAGCCCCCACCGGGACCGGCACAGCCCAGACCGGGACCGGCACAGCCCCCACCGGGAGCGGTACTGCCCCGGTACAGCCCAGACCGGGATCGGCAGAGTCCCGGCACAGCCCCCACCGGGAGCGGTACTGCCCATCCCATCCCCGGCCCGAGTGGACCGGCGGGATCGGCACAGCCCCAGTACAGCCCTGACCGAGACCGGCACAGCCCCGGTAGTGCCCCGGCGGGACCGACACAGCCCTGGTTCATCCTTGACATCCCCGGCCCCGCAACGGGACCAGCACTGCCCCGGTCCATCCCCGGCCCGAGCGGGAGCGGCGGCACCGGCGATCCCCGGCTGGATCCCCGACAGGACCAGCCCATCCCTGGCTGGTCCAGCCCATCCTCGGCCGATCCCGGCCCGCCCCGCCGGCCGTGCCCGGTCCCGCCCCGCTCCCAGCCCGGTGCCGGCCCCGCCCCGGAGCGCTCGGCGCGGGGGGACTTCCGGGGCCGCGGCGGGCGGAGGGAGGCGGCAGGGCTGGGCTGGGCTGGGCTGGGCAGGACGGGCAGGGCGCGGCGGGAATGGCGGCGATGAGCTCGCTCGAGGCCGTGCGCAGGAAGATCCGCAGCCTGCAGGAGCAGGCGGACGCGGCCGAGGAGCGGGCGGGACGGCTGCAGCGGGAGGTGGACCAGGAGCGGGCGCTGCGGGAGGAGGTACGGCCGGCCCGGCCCGGCTGGGGGGAGCGGGCGGGGGACCCTCGTACCGCGGGGCTCCCCGGCCCTTCCTTGGCGGCTGTTCTCTGCACGGGCAGGCGGGGGTGTCTACGGGCCCAGCTGGGTTTAGGCGAGGTGTTCGCGATTAGGTGCTTTGTGTCAGGTTCTGAGCAAGCTTTCGTGATTTTTTTTTTCTTTCTTTCCCTACAAGCCCTAGTTCTCTTTTGCCATCCAGGCGAGCTCATCTGGGAATCAGCATGGCGACACTTGGGAAGTTACGTACCTGGGGCTGAACCTGAGATGGCCCCGGCACCTGAATGCACAGCAATGCGATCGGGTGCCTAAACAGCTGTGCGGGTGCTGCTCCTCACAGCTGCCTGCTGGGATGGGAAAGCAGCAGCAGGCTTGGGTTTAGGCAGAGATGAGATGAGATGAGATCAGGGGTGAACAACTTACGGAGCAGAGAGATGTGTTATTGGTGTCAGTCACAGCAAAAAAACCTGATAGGGCTGTTGTTTGTCTTGCCACTGACCTTGGGGAATTCTAGCAGCTGTAATTTAACGTTTCCTGCTGTAAAACGTGCGGTGTCTTTTGAGGCAGTTTTAATGTCTTCTGTGGTTGTATGAAAGAGAAGCAGAAGAACAACTTTCTTGTGTACTTTATTGCAATAGAAAAAATGGCGTTTATTGGATTTCCTTAGAATATGGGGCTTCCTGCACATTCCGGGCAGCAAGTTCAGAGGAAGAGCCTGCTGATTACTTGCAGGTGATCTTCCTGACAGAGCAAAATATGGCTACTATGCTTGTGTAACCACTGCATTCTTGCAGCTCACTTGGCATATCCATTTTTTTCGGTGAAGGACCATGTCACAGTCAGTAACTTGTTTCATAAGACTTTCAGTCTTTAAAACAACTTGTACTCGTTTTCTAAGCTTGGTGGAGTAAAGGACACCAATTTTCCTGCTTTCAGTAACATAACAATACACAATTCCCATTGAAATGGGACGCTTTGCTGTTACACCTTTTGTGGCAGGAGTAGTACTGGAGAAGTGATGGTAGCTTGCTGGTGAAGTCTTCCCTTAAGAGCTCAGCTGCATTGTTCTAAAAGACCCTAAAGGTTAATGTTTGTGTCTTCCCTGGAGTTGGTTTATGTGCAGTTCTGCAGGGTGCATTTGCACGGTATTGGCGTTTTTGTTTGGAGTGGTCAGTGCTGGGGTGGATCAAGGTGGAAAACTGAACTCCCAGGCACAGGTAGATGTATGCCTTCTTTACAGCGGGCTTTTTTATTGTTGCAGCTGTTATTTCTGCGTGCTTGAGGAGGGAGGCTTTGAGAGCGTTGCAGGAGAGAGCAGAGGTGTGAATCTGACCCTTCCCTCGGTGCAGCCCTTACATGTACAGCATGTGACCAGCCAGGGTTGTTATGTGGGTTTTGTTTTCTTCCTGTGCAAGGTACAGACAGCAAACAATGAAAAAGTTGAAGCTGTGGCCAAAACACATCACAGCCTACAGCTCTTGATTGTTAAACCAGATTGTTAAAAGTTTCAAGACTGTGAATAGCAGTTATTGCCTTAAAAAAAGAATCTGTTCTGTCTCCAGGCATCTCAAGGGGCTGCTGGAAATCACTTTTTCAAAATGCATTTTTCCTCCTTCTTCTGGAAAACAGACTCTCCCTTGCAACAGTAATAATTAACACCCGATGGTGCCTTAGCCATGTCATCGCTCACTGTGGAAATATGTGGGGTGTGAGTGGTGTGGCAGACACGCAGGAGGCTGTGTTTGTCTGGGAGCTGTGGGAGTGCCCCTCAATGTCACTGGGGGTTTCTTCCTGCCTTGCCATATAAGGAGAGAAGTCCTGCTCCGCAGAAGAATAACTTGGGCCATATAAGGCTGGTTGGTAAATCCTGAGTGAGTTACTGGAGCAGGAAGTAAAAACTTGAACTTTACTCACCCGGTGTTTTCGAAGCGCGTTGTGTGCTCTTATCGTGGTGAGGAGTCTTGACATGACAATAATTAACTTGTACCATTGCAAATTTCCCTAAAGTAACATTTGTGAAGGGTTATTTTTTTTTTGTCTTAAACCAGAAAGTTCAACTTCTTGCTATTTAAAGCCAGAAATCTGGAAAGACAGGTTTGGATAACACAGAGCAAAATATTCTGGTTTTCGGATTAATATGGATCTCTAAGAATGAAGTCTCTTCTGGTTCTCCACGTTCACTGCCAATACATATTCATGTTCAAAGACATATTTGCTTCCCTGCCTGTGTGTTGCTTTCAGTCATTCTAGCGGGACATTGTTACTGTCGTGTCAAAGGTAGTTTTATTGTCTGCTCTGTAAGTTCCTCCTCCTGTTATGTACAGCAAAATTTTCACTGCAGCCAGCCAGCTGCATCCAGCTACCTCTGGGTAGAAAAGAAAAAGTACCAAAGTGATACTTTTGGTTTCTACTTTTGCTGGAGGGTTGGTTCTCTCCTCAGTTAGACATCACAGATGGGTGCTTGTTCATATGTAACATATATCTCATCTCATATTAATTTTCAGTACTAATTAAGACAGTTATTCTCAGAAGTGATTAACTTTTTAAAATGATGACCTTTTTATATATATTTTGTGCTTAATATAGTTTTGAAAGAAAGTTTTACAAGGAGGTTACCATGAGGAGGCTGTTGCAGAACTTACTCTGCAACTTAAGCAAGGGTAGTTTTGAAGGTGTCAGAAGGAAGAGCTTGTAGTGGTAAGAGGCAGGGGAGTTGCAAGGGTTATACAGAAGGTTAAGTGAATAGGTAATGCAAGAGAGGCAAACTTAGAAGAAGGTTGAGGATGGCACTATGGGGAAAAAACCAAAAGGAAAAGGTGTTTTAAGTGGTTGTTGCCTGTACTAGGACCCATTTTAATTAATTAAAATTAAAACTTCAGGGTACTCAGGCACTTCTTCAGTGTTCTCCTGCCCTCTCTGGGGCAGCTGTCCCATGGCAAATGCTGATCCAGGTGTGTTTTTGTTTGGTTATGCTGAACCCTTCTTCTGGAACTCCAGGAAATACTGGGACAGTTCTTACCAAAATGTGGTCAAAGGTCACAAATAAAGGATTTGTGATAATTGAAGACTCATAAGTAGTTTGTGTTGATTTAACAAGAAAAAAGGGGAGGTCTGTGATTCATGTCTGCAAACACAATAACAGGGAATATTCAGGTAAGAGTGCATAGTTCTTCCAGTGCAGTTTTCTCTGGTACAGATTGTACAGTCCTTGATGTGCTTCATTGAAAGGAAGCATTAATCACTTTTTCCTCTGTTAAGCAATAACTTCACAATTGAGTGAGGGCATGGACGTTCATGTGTGGGGACCTCACAGTGGCTGAAGCCAGGAATTGTGGAAGTGCTGTTACCTGGCACTAGCAGGTAAAGGGACAGTCTTACAAGAGATGATGTGTGCCCTACCATGAACTAATTCCTGTTCTTGCTGTGCTTAGGCTGAGAGTGAAGTGGCTTCTCTGAACAGACGCATCCAGCTGGTTGAGGAAGAGTTGGACCGGGCTCAGGAGCGCTTGGCCACTGCCCTGCAGAAGCTGGAGGAGGCTGAGAAGGCTGCAGATGAGAGTGAAAGGTGGGTGGGGCCACTCCTGAATGGATCGTTACCCTCCTGACAAAGATCATAATTGCCAGGGTGTGGGCTGGGAATAAATGACACCACTCCTGTGTCTCTGAACTGGTGTAATCTGCTCTTCCCTTATGTACATGGACTTCAGTTACAGCTTGTCTGAAGGAATGGCCAAAACACTTAGGCTTGAATTCTTTTTCAGTGGTAAAGATGAGGTTTGAGTGGAGTAGGCCCTGTGATGAGTCATGTCACATCCTGTGAAGGCTGGCTGACCAAGCCCAGCTTTCTCTGTTGGGATGACAACTTCTTGTGCTGTTGGGCAGTTCTGGATTTCATGGTGGGTAGAAAATCTCACCTGGAGAACAGCACAGTGCTGGAAGAAGCTTTGATTCTCCTGTTGGCGAGATTAGTACACCAAGGTGAGCAAGGGAGAGGCTTATAATTCCTTCAGGTTTCCAGAGGTCCATAAATTAAGTTGGGAACTCAAGATTTGTGCCTTTGGAAGATCTTCTGTCTTCTATAAATCGTATTTTTTATCTGTGATAATACCTTTTATGGTGAAAGAAGCCCACATATCCTGCACATATCATTTCTGCCTCACTAACTATGCAGGCTGTTGAAGACTCACAGTGTGTTTTGAAACACTTAGAGAATTTGGGTCAGATGTGCAACACTCAGTGTTTGCTGTGATGAAGGAGTTAAATTGAGCTCTGACATGGCAAACCTCAGGGGACTCTGGCCCATAAACATGGTCCAGTCAGTCCTGCAAGAGTTGTAAGGTGCTGTTTCATGGTAAGTGTAAAAGCACCGATGTTTTCAGTCATCCTGTTAGGTCTTGAGAGGCAGGACCCTTTTATTTACCTCTCTGTAAGATGAGTTTTCATTCAATTTAAAATGAAAAAGGATAGTACAGCTGAACTGTGGTTGAGAGAGCTGAACAAATCACACTTTCTTTCTTTCTAAGGCGTGTTTTGTTCTTTGGAGTTCTGGATGTGGGTGCACAGGACTAGGTCTATGGTGTGAAGACTCAGCTCTGTGATGTGCTTCATTCACCTTAGTGCAATGCCTGCAAGTCTCACTCCACTGGTAGTGGAGCTGGAGATAAACTGGCAAGCCCTGACCCTTGCACTTGCTGTTTTTCACATCTTTCAGAGGAATGAAGGTCATTGAAAACAGAGCCCAGAAGGATGAAGAGAAGATGGAAATCCAGGAGATCCAGCTCAAAGAGGCCAAGCACATTGCTGAAGAGGCCGACCGCAAGTATGAGGAGGTCAGTTCCTGAGGGCAGGTCACCTCTTCCTCAAGTCCATCAGCCTGTGCCTGTACCTTATTTTTTTTTCCTCCTTTGCCCTTTAAGTTCAAAGGATCACAAACACCACTCTCCACAGCTGTGGAAGGAGAAATGGGCACCTGGATACCTCAGGGGAGGAGGTGGCAGGAGATCTGTGCTTAGAGCTTTGTGCCACAACGTGTCAGAGTATTCCCTCGGCTCTGAGGGAGAAAAAGACCTACTTTGAAGTCGCCTTTTGGTGAATGAAAGAGAGGTCTTGAAAAATGCTAGATAACTAAAACTCAGATGAATAATGAAGATGTTACGGAATCAAAGCTCATATGTTGACCAAAGACAGGAGAAGAGGCCCAGCTCCCTGCTTAGCAGGTTCTAGAAGCAGGTGACCTGTGCTGCAGCAACATAACCTCTGACTGCCAGGGGGCTTCTCTTGTAGGTGGCTCGTAAGCTGGTGATCATTGAGAGCGACCTGGAGCGGGCTGAGGAACGTGCTGAGCTCTCAGAAAGGTGAGTGTTGAATGCCTCCTGTGAGGTGCTGCAGGGTGGCTATAACAGCATGGACTGTTGGCAGGACACTGTGTGCTCAGCTCCAAGCTACGTTGTGCTGGTTTGCTCGGTTACTGTAATCGTTGAAGTAAACCAAGTAAATGTGTTGTTTGTGTTTTGTCACTGCATGCTGGACCTGCACACTGATTTTGTGAATGGCTTTTGTGCATTTCATGTGTTCACTAACAGCCAAGTCCGACAGCTGGAAGAACAGTTAAGAATAATGGATCAAACCTTGAAAGCATTAATGGCTGCAGAGGATAAGGTACTGGCACTAATAAACAGTTCTCAGGTTTAACTGCAACCCAAGTCTTTCAGCTTCCATAGCTGGTTAGCTCACTCAGTAGTAACAATCAGTCCTTGCTATGCTCTTCACTCTCTTTGCATCTTGCTTTGGTGGTTTTCTTTGGTCTCTATTTTTTGTTTATTTATTCATTTTTACCTTTAAAACTGATCTCCCGTGCAGCCAAAAGAAGCTGAACTGTCTCACGTGTAAAAAGCTCTGTAAATGTTTCTGTGTAAGCCAAGGGCTGTAGATAAATTTCTGTCTGGTCATCGTCTTAATGTGCACTTTAAAGTGATATTTGGCATCACAAAGAGCCGCTTTCAATCTGTGATGGATCAGCTGCTTTTGAGGCCGTTCTTTTGCCCTGTAATTGTTTTCATTTTTCTCTATCTTTTCCCCCTATTTTCTCCTGTTTTCTTTTGCTTGACTGAATCTTCCATCCGCCCCTTTCCTGCCTTCCCTCCGAAATAACAGCAAATGTGCTGAGCTTGAAGAGGAGTTGAAAACTGTGACCAACAACCTGAAGTCGCTGGAGGCTCAGGCTGAGAAGGTAGGATAGAGACTGGCGTGAGAATGTGTCCCTTACTTGTCACCTGGCCTCTGGGGTTTCCTTTGTGGAAATGCTGGTCACTGCAGCGCTTCAGCAGGGCCATTGTCAGTAGAAGCACTTGGACTCACTGCTCAGTTCACATTTGGCTCTCACTGGAGCACAGAGCATCTCCCAGTTCCAAATAGGTCAGTGTTAGTTGGCCACACGTTCTGTTAAGTGCTCTGACAGGATTAAATATTATTTATGGCATTAGCCTCCACCTGGCATTGTGTACTAACGTTCAGTTTCTCCAAACAATACTCCTCTTTAGAAAAAGTTCCTACTAATTCCTACCCGGAGTTCCCACCTTCTTGCACTGGAATACATCTCAGGTTTGACTCCTGTAACAAAACTGCATTACCACAGTCTTGTAACTGGAATTCATTTAGTTTTACCCATATTAATTTCCTGTGCACACATCATTTGTTAGAGTTTCAAATGTGGGATTTTTGGTATATTTAGAATACCTGGTCTAATACCAGTGATCTTCTTTTCTAATTACAGTACTCGCAGAAAGAAGACAAATATGAAGAGGAGATTAAAGTTCTGACTGACAAACTGAAGGAGGTAAAATTAGAGCTGTTCTTTGCAACGTATCTTCTAATGGACATTTGATTCTTTTAATGTAAACATTACTTTGCTTTAAGGGTGAACACACTCTTTTGGAAACAGTTTAATGTTAAATATCCCTCCTAAAAATTAGTATATATTTATCTCCTCTCACTCTACTTTGTTGCCCATGTCAGCTGTTGCTGCACTGTTCCCAAGGGCTGTGTGAGTGTTTCCTGAAGCAGTGTGTGTTTGTCTTGCCCCCAGGCTGAGACCCGTGCTGAGTTTGCTGAGAGGTCAGTAACCAAGCTGGAGAAGAGCATTGATGACCTAGAAGGTATGAGCTTCTGGATTTTTGTTTACTACAGAAATACACAGCTCTTATTCTGCTCTTGGGGGGAGTTGTTGTTTGTTGGTTTTTTTCATTACCCAGCTCTACTGACTTGTCCCACTTGTACAAACAGATCTGCCTAAAGAGTAAAATAGGCAAAACATTTTCCAGTTGAAATATATTGATAACTTAAATGCTTCGGGTGAACAGTGTTTTGCTCTTGCCTGTTCCTTTTTCTCTCGTGTTCTCAAGACTCCTTTCATTTTTTTTTGCTGTATACTCTTCTACTTGGAGGTATATAAATGTGTAGGGTGAATGATCAGATGGTAAGTGTTATTATCATCTTACTAAGGAGCTGTGTTATGTTTGCAGTAATTAGGAATGTAGCAAGCTACCCTAATTTAATCCAAGTGTGGGTCAGGGCAGGCATTTGGGGACATGGAGCAGTTGTTGGTTTTCAGTGAAGTTAATAGATTGTATACATAATCAAAAGGACAGCTTGTTTAGCTTCAGAGAGTTCATTTTAAGGTTTTGATAAAACTACCAGGACTGCAGCAGAATAGTAGAATGTGCTTCCTGTCTCCAGAGACAATAATTCAGTAGGGCTCTGTAATTAGAAGTTAGATGGAGGTTAGTATTTAGATGCATTACACCAAGTCTAGGATTTTAAGAGGCTTAATTGCTTGGTGTGGCAGAGGGTTGTGGAATACCTGGGTAGCTGCTGACAGTTTGTGATCACTGACTCAGGAAGGAAGCAGAGAAGAAGGATAAGTGTTTAGAAGGAACAAAACTGGCTGTAAGAAGCTGAGTTTATGCCGATCACACAAAGCAGAGCCCCATTTTTGGCTCTTTTCTCCCTTGCTCCTGTGTGCCCTCCTGATGTGCATTAAAGCAAAAATCCAGGGCAGCAAAACGTGGGTTTTTCCCCTTGTGCACTTCCTTTCCTTGGTTTTCTCTGTATCCCAGCTTGCCCCACTGGCAGTGCAGTTAATGAACTTCTCACATAAGACTGTTCACTACTGATTTTTTTTTAAATTATTCTCTAACGTTGTGATTTTCTTCCATGTTGTCTGTCACAACACCTCTTTCTGTGCACTCCTCCCTTTTCCTGCGGCTCCTGGACGGTGTCCCATGCCACCACCTCCACCTTGCACCCATGGGCACGCTCCATCCCCTTGCACACCTGCCTTCCCTGGGGGACCATTAGATGAGCTGTATGCTCAGAAACTGAAGTACAAAGCCATCAGTGAGGAGCTGGACCACGCTCTCAATGATATGACTTCCATGTAAATGTCCTCCCAGCCTGTCCCTGCTGCCGCTTCCCCGCCCTCACTGATTGCGCGGTGCCGGCTTGTGAGACGGTCCCCCTGTGCAGGGGGAGCCTCATTCCTTTAGCAAGACTTAGGTGTACAAAATACCATGAACAATTTCTTTACCGTGGCAAAGCGTGGGTGAGTGTTTGTGCCTAGCCTGGTAAATCCTCATGGTGATTTTGTAAGCTCGTGGTCCCTCTGTCCGTCGGTGCCTGCAGTCCGTGTGTCCTGGGGTTGCCCTTCGTTTGTAGCTCGGTTTGTCCTCTCAGTTCACCTCTGTTCAAGCTTTGTCTACCAGGCCCCTCGTGTTCATTTTACCAAAGAAAATTGCCTTGGTCTGTGTTGGATTTGGAGGGCACTCTTCTGCCTGCTGTCGCAGTTTGGCTCTGGCAAAATTTCTACAAAAATGTCCAAGAAATTTAGATTTAGTCATAGTTATTAACTTATTATTTCTTTTAGATAACACTTTCCACTGTCATTAATAAATAGGGAAAAATTATTTCTCTATTTATTAGTGACAGTGGAAAATGTTTATCTGAATTCACTTAACTGCTCTGAAAGTTTCACCTGTTACCACTAAATTACAATTGCAGAAATGGATTTAAAATACTTTGTCATTTAAACCCATAAAAGTCACAGTTGTTCATTGGTTCCTTCTGCATGTTTCCTGGACAGTAGTAGCAATTTAATTTGCATAGACCAAAAATGTGGTGTAACTTGAGCCATAAGGATAAAAAAACAGTGACAGGAGAGCAGGAGAGTGACCAGCTGGAAGGTGTGAGTGGTTCCTGCAGCGTGTGCTACCACTCGCCTCGTGCACTCTGACCAGAGCTCAGCTGTGCCACAGCCACCTTCCCCTGCCCACACCTGGCACTTGCATGACCCCTGCCTGGCTGGCACGGGAGAGGGGCAGGGCTGTGGCTCTCAGGGGCATGGGAGGTGCAGTGTTTAGTCCCAGCACTTCTCTTTCTAGGCATGATTTCCACAAGGCACGAGGTTTGCTCAGAGCCTGACGTGTATTTTGCGTGCACCTGTATTTTAAAGGGTTTTTTTCTTTGCATTTTTTCATCCCTGTGTCTGTTCCATACTTTCCTCTCTCCCAACATTTTTAGTAGAGGTCTAATGTTGTCTGCTTCGTATGCTTTGATTTTGTTTTCTGGTTTTGAATTCCCTCCCAACATATGCTTTTGCTCTGTGGTTTTCCAAGCAGATGGATTTCTCTTTTCCTCCTCTGTGTGCAGAGGTGCCAGTATTTCTTCAATTTGGGATATTTCTAAATGGAAACCAGACTTTAAATTATACTCTGCTGCTACACGAGGACATTCCAGTCCCAGCATGGTGTGCTGTTTCTCTAGTATAGTCTCTCAGCATGCTGGGCTCTGCTGTGCAGTTGCTGCTTTTTTGGAAGTCTTTACTGCGCCTTTTTTTTCATTCTCTACCTCATCTCCCTTTTTCTTTCCATGCAGATAATTTTCTTTGCTTCACTTCTCCCAAGACATCCTCCTCGGGTTGGATCAAACATCTCCCCCAGCTTTGGATGTTTCATGGGTTCATTGTCCTGTCCTCTAGCTTAGCTGCCTCTCTTCTCTCCACCTGGCTCAGAACATGCTCTGTTTGTGCCCTGCTGTACAGAAACCACATTTCTCCATGTAAAATAAACATCCCAGCTGTACTCCTTTCGCCATTCCCTTGCCTTTTATTTATTTAAGGAACTATTTAAGTTATTAATAAAAAATGCTCTTTTTTTTTGCCCGCAGGGATTTTTTTTTTTTTTGGTGTTTTCATTTTTTTATCTGCAAACACTTTTGCCTGAACGTTGACAATGCCAAGCCAGTGAGAGCAGTCTGTGGGATGAGAGCACTGCTCTTGGTGTCAAAAGTGACTGGTTATTAGTTATTATCTTAGTTTCTCTCAAAACATTATGATGCAGATAAAATGACAAATAGATGTAATGGGAATTTTCCCAGTTGTTATTGTTGGGCCAAAATCTGCAAGGACACTTCTTCCTTGGGGTCACTTGGTCGTGGGAGCGTGGCTGAGAGAACAGTTACATCCTTGACACCACATTTTTCACTTTAAAGCCTTAAAATTTGCTCCTGGCTTGGTGCTGAAGACTTCTGGTCTTTATATAAAAGTGTTTGTTCGTGAACTTTAAATATTTGAGACAGATTTAAAGGGGCAATATCAAAAATTTTAAATTCTTTTTTTTTTTGCATCCAAAAATAGCCCTTGAATTGTCTTGCAAAGAAGTTTTCCCTCTTTCACCCTTAGTGAATTCAGCAGACTTGCTGCTTGGTAACTTTTTGGGGGTTTTAGAATGTATTTTTCTTGAGTGGCATGATAGGATTGGAAGTTCATCAGGGAGGTTTCAGTAGTTTTCCACTCTTGGGCTTAGTTCAGACTTGTGAGTTTGGATTGCAGACTCATGAGAAGTGTTTCAAAACTGCAGTAGGAAAACTCAGGATTACGGTGTTAATGAATGGTTCTGCTGCAGAGTGGAACATGGTGGATATCAGGTTGGAAAGCCTCAACATTGGCTTTCAGCTGGTTTGTCAGTGCCTAATTAAGGATGAAGCATTAAATATTGACACCTTGGGGTTTTTTGTACTATTATTTGCAACCAGGGAGTTTATTGCCTTATTTTAACTTAATTTACTTTACAATGAAAGGAGTTATTTTCCATTTCATACTAAAGTGAATCAGTTTAAACTGGATTGATTTCTGGTCTCTCTTTCTATATTGCTAAAGTTCCTCGGTCACCAAAGCTAAATAAACTTATTATAGCTGAACTGTAGTTTTTAACTTGTAGAATAATGTAAATATGTCTTTCTTGTCCGGCTTCAAGATGATTCAGCAGTGCAGTCTAGGCTAGATTTTCTCCCTTCCCCAACCCTTGTTTTCCAAAGAAGGCTTGCAGATGGAAGCATCCCGCTTTTCTGTCCCATGACACGTCCCATTGTTGCTGGCCCTGGGGGAAGCCCAAGCACAGGATGTGGCTCAGCAGTCAGGGGTGGTTCCAGCAGTGAAGCTCAGCTGAGATGCAGCAAGTGGGGCTGAGCACTGGGGGTGCTGCAAGGGAGAGGCAAAAGGTGAGGGTTGAGCAGGTACAGTGGGATGAGTGAAATGGCTGAAGCTGCTGTGGGTGACTTCACAAATGCAGCAGTTTTGGGGAGTGTGGCCAACTGAGCCAGAGTAAATTATGCTACAGCAGCTTCAGCTCCTTAAACCAGTGCATGTTTTGGTTCATGGTGTTAGTTTAGCAGTGTTGTTTTCCTCTCCATTCCCTGCAATACTGTTGTTTCTTAAGAAAAGTAAAAAAAGCCCCAAATCCATCGTAGGACCTGGCAGTTTTTACCATAATAATTTTGGGCAATCAGTGTTTAATTTTCCCCTTTTCTGTCAGTCACACATGGCCAGCTCCCTGCACTGCAGGATAACAGAATGCTGGAAGGGAAGGGCAGGGCAGTGCAGACACACAGGGAGCTGTGTGCAGAATTCCTGGCTGCTCCTGCTGCTCTGATCCTGACTGCCCAGAGCTGGGCTGGTTTCTCCCTGCAGGCTGTTCCAGCACTCCTGTCCCCCTTGGGGTGATGTTGCAGAGGTGTTGAGGGGAGCACAGGGCTGGCTCTGCTGAGCTGAGGCTGGGCCTTGCTGGGTCTGAACAGGGCCCTGTGCCAGAGGACAGCCCAGAACGCTGGGGGGATCCAGGGTTCTCGGTACACTCAGGAAACACTTCCCTACTTCACCTGGGGGCTTTAGTCTCATTTTGGACACTGAGAAATAATGGAAATCTCTGCCCCAGTTAGAGAGGGGTTTCCTGTGATGAAGGCAAGCATCAAGTTCTCAGTTCAAATGTCATGTTTGAGTAACAACCAAATACACTTTGCCAAAGTGACATTTTAGTTACTCTGAGGTTCTGATGTTTCTTCCACGTGTATGTGACATTATCCTGAGGAGAGAGACAAGCCCCAGTTGTTACTGGTGCAGGCCCAGGGCTGTGAAATGTGCCCCGGTTTTCCTGGGCTGGCTGTTGGACTTTGGGCTGGGGAGGAAGCTGTGAGGAGTGTTACTCACCACACAAGCACGTCCTGCAGCCCAGCTCATGGCACAGCTCTGCCTTTGCTGTGTGCAGTGCCTGCAGGGGAAGGGCATTTCTGGGGAGGCTCTTAGGAAGCTTGTGGAAAAGAATCAGAACCAGTCATTTCCTGGAGGGGAATAATCTGGGGTCGAGAGGTCAGGAGTGCAGTTTGGACCTAGACTGTTGAGGAGGATACAGGCACTTTGAGAACACAAGGCAGTGAAAAGCCATGGTGGAATGTTCTTTCCCTCTGCAGAACTGTCACTAACTGTGCTGTCCCACCATGGTCCTGGCTGTTCTGTGTGCACATGAGTCCTCTCTGTCTGCTGTATTTGAGCAGCACAGGTTTTCATCCCTCCATTTCACTTTCACCAAATGTGTGGGTCTGTTTTCTTGCAGAGCACAACTGGGCAATTTAAAGTTATCAAAAGGTGCTGATGGCAGTAACAGAAGTGTATTTTCCTACCAAAAACAGCCTTTCAGCCATCAGCTTCCCTCGGAAGGGCGTGTGGGCTGAGTCAGACCTGGTGGTAGGTGGCTCCTGGCACCTCCTGCTGTTATTTGTGCTGGTTGGGATGCAGTTGCTCTCCCTTCACTGACAGATGAGGTTCCACCACCCCTTAAAGAGTTTGCAGATTAAAATGACACTCATTAAACCGACCTGCCACACACTGTACAAGAGACTAAAGCAGGGTTTGGTGGCTGTGGGGATGTGGCTGCAGCTCTGTTCCTGTTGCAGTTGGTGTCCCACAGCTGTTCCCCACGGCAGGATCCTTAGCCAGTTGTTCAGCTGGTACAAAAGCTGTTCCTTGGAGTAGCTGTGTAATTACTAGAGTTGTAGAAACCGAGGTAAAATGTCTCTCTGTATGTTACTGAACTGTCTGTCATGTGACCAGTTTCTTTATTAACTCTTATTTAACTGTTTTCTCTGTCTAATCTGTCTTCATTCTGCCTCTTTTTTTCCCTTCTAACCTGCTTGCTGCCTGTACAGACCAACTCTACCAGCAACTTGAGCAAAACAGTCGCCTAACTAATGAACTAAAGCTGGCCTTGAATGAGGATTAAACCTTAGTGTGACCATACTGTTAACTTGGTTAAAAAACCTGCTGCCAAACTTTCTTTAAGAGCAAATCACTAAAAGTAGAAATAAGCAAGAAACCTAGAAATTGATTTTTTTTTTAATTTTTTTTTCTATTTTTTGAGCTGTTGATGATGTGGTAAATGAATATATGAAATTCTCAGTTTCTCTTGGGGAAAACATGGAAATGCTTCCTGTGGATGAGGCTTTTCCCTGTGTGTGTGCTCTGGGGGAGCACAAAACTCTTGGCTGTGCTGTGGCTTCTTTCCACTGTTCAGCCTTTCCCTGAGAGCATCCAAAAAGCAGCAGCCTCAGTCAGGCACTCAGATTACCTGACCACATCAATTGGCCCTGGGATTTTTATTTTTTTTTTAACTAGAATGAGAGAAAAATACTCACCAGGCTGCAAATTTGTGTACTTCCAAAGCAGCTTTTAAAGGATCCTTACAGCTGTTTCGTTGTCTGGAGACTTTGATGCCATAACTTTTGCATTTCTGTGAATTGGGCTTGTATTTATTTGACTTGAGGGGAAAAATAAAAAAGCATGGGAGCTCCACCTGAAAACCCTGATCAGTTTGAAGGTATGCTTGCAGTAGTGTGAAATGACTGTACTGGATCCTGGTAGGATGCACCTCTAGAACATTGTGCTCATTTATTGTATTTAATAAGTGTGTTAAATGACTGTCCTATAAAAGTGTGCATGCAACATAAAGCTACTAACTTCAATTTTATTTATTTTCTAGAAGAAATAAATTTCTTAAAGGTCACTTCACTGAAGAAGAGAATATTTCTATTTTTTTTGTTCTTTGCATTTCTGAATTCTGTGGAACTTAAAGTGTGGATCTGCAAAGAACTTAATTATTTTCTCTATTGCTACCTTAAAAAAAAAAAAAATTTTACAAAAGCCATTTACCATCCCACATTCCTATAAGCAAAGAGCTTCCAGAACGTGCAGGACCTGCAGCTCTGGTGGCAGTGCATTTTCTTAACAAATGCAGCTGTAAACAGTTCCAAACTCGCATTACTCGTTGTTTGTTTAATTAATTTGGGATTCTCTCTGGTTGTGTTGTCTGGGAACATTGGTATTTATGAGCATGCACATTTCTTAACTTCCTAAACCCCCTGAGAGCAGTGATGATTGCATGCCTTCGTGCTCTGAGAGTCAGTGCCTCCAAAGAACTGCTATTCACGTTGTAATTTTCTAATCCCACAACAGAGAAAGTGGCACATGCCAAAGAAGAAAACCTTAATATGCATCAGATGCTGGATCAAACTTTACTGGAGTTAAACAACATGTGAAAACCTTCTTAGCAGCAACCACATTATTTGTCTTGTTATTTCCACACCTGCTTGCCGTGAAGCCCCATAAACATGTCTTTATTTTAGTTTCACCACAGTCACCAGAACATCTGCTAAATTCCCCAGCAGGGGTCAGGGGAACACCAAACCGGGCAAGCCGTTAATGCGGGTTGAGCTCCATTCCATTATGGTCTAAATGTGCCATTTCCCACCAAAAATGTTACCTACACTCTGTAGAGAGTTCAGCAACTCCGTGTGCTTAGTCTTGGAAGAGTCCTGGCTGTGGCAGAAAGTGTCCCACCCCAAGTGCCAACCTCAGTTTTGACCCAAGAAGAAGGATGGGTGTTCCAGAGAGATCAGGTGGAAATGGTGCTACTCTTCGAACAAAAGGTTCTGCCGAAGCCTTTTGTTTGATATCACACAAGTCAGGAGTTGTCCAGCACAGTAACTTATTTTTTACCACAGTTTTACTGATCTGTGAGAATTTGGACTTTCTGTGCCTTCTGATTCAGTAAAAGGAAGGTGTGGGAGCAGCAGAGACAAGTGAAGGCTCCTGGAGGTTTTAAATTGTGTTCTTGCAACTCGATACAGAAGTGTAGGTCAGCATTTCACCTTGAGCATTCATTCGATTGTATTTTTCATGTTGAAATGAAAGATTCAATAAATTCAGGACAAAACGTGAATTTGGAAGAGGTTGTTTAAAAATGTTATTTTATTTGTGTGGATTTCGGGGAGGGGGAGGAATTTTGAAACCGATATTCGCCTCACCTTTTTTTTTTTTTTTTTTTTTCACACTTTCTTTGAGCAGTTTTAAAAGTATACCTGTATTGTAAACATTGTATAATGATATGAAATAAAATGCACATTTTAGGACTTTTTTTTTTAATTTGGCTCTCCTGTGATTTGTTTCTCATCACGTGAGCTTTCTGTGTGTACAACCTGCCCGTGTGCAGTGTGTGTCTCGTTGTGGCAGCCTGGGATGTGCTGGTGGCAGGCTATAAAAATGCACTGCTTTGGACAGGTGTGGCCCTGCAGCTGCTGGGAGGGGCCCTCTGAGAGCCTGGCACTCCACTGTGTGCCCAGGTGGGTGCAGAATGCAACTACCCCCTAACAAATTACACAGCTTTCCAAAATTACTCGCTGTTGACATAGACTACTTTTGGTAAGGCCGTGGCAGAACTCCCTCTGCGTAAATGAGTCCTAAAGGCCTTGCTCGTGGAAGAACTACCCTGTATTTGTGTGTCTTACCTGCCAATCTGGGTTAATTTGCTTGGATACTGTGATAAACCTTCCAAAGTCACGAGTCATGTTCACGAGAGATCCTTTCACCTGACTTTATCCCTGCTGGTTGCTGATTTCTACGTGTGGGTGTCTTTGAATTGTGAGGTCTGTCAGTGGGCAACTCCAGAACTTAAAAATTAATTTTCACTGCTTCTTTTCCTGTAGTATGTTGCTGAAAGTTGATGCTGCCCATCCTTCCAGCAGCAAGGAGCTTGGCAGGAGACAGGTGCAGATAACCTTCCAGATCACCAAAGAATTTCCATTAGTGGACCCTTAGCAAGGGACTGAAGAGAGGTGACTTTATCAGCTTCTGGTGAGAGGGTAAAGTAATACAAAATAACTTCAGGTTCAGTGGGAGTCAGAGAGGGAGGATGTACTGGGACAGGTCTGGCTCTTTTTCATGTGTTACAAAGGGGGGAACTTGGCAGCACTGCA